ATGGGCAAACATTTAAAAACATACCATACGTCCAAATCCCCAAAGTAAGGAAAAGTGTGGCCATTTCTAAGAAATTCCTTTTGCTTTACTTTTACCTTCCGTAAATACCTGCAGGGGGCCGAAGGGAGACCCTCCCAGTCGGGGCGCCTCACCAGCAGCGGCGGCGGCGGCGGGAACCGGGTAGGGGGCCGCTAATGCAGCGAGCCTGGGCACCAGCCTGCCGGACAACGTGGGGGAGGGGACGAAGTGGGGCCGGGGAGCTGTTTCACCTGAGGAAAGGACTGAGGGAGGAAATCGTTTGCCCACTGAATGGGAGGGCCAGGAGGCTCATCCAAGGCCCCACGTAAGTTGGTAGAGAACTAATACGATACTGGCCACGAACACCGGGCAGAGGAAGAGAAAGGGGAATAAATGGGATTCTTTCGGGGAGCTCCGGCCCGCGAGCTCAGCTGGGAAGAGCCTTCCTCAGACCCAGATAGAACGAGATGCTTAGTGCGCAGGCGCGCGACTTTCCCGCCACAGGTCTGAGGGATCCCAACAGGGCGGAAGAGGGAACTGCATTGCGACAAAACCAGTCACGATCTAGAATTCGTTTCTAATCCCTCACAATCCCGCGCCATGGAACAAACTGTCGGAAACTCACGATTGGAGAGATTACGACTTCTGTGGCTCCCTAAATGCCTGGGTTGCCGCCTCCAAGAGCTCCCCACCTAGAGAGTCAGCCAAATGCGCCTGCGCAACACTTCCCGCCGCGCAGCTTCTAGTTGCTCATGCGCACTATAAAGCCCTTGGCGCCACGGAATCCGCCACAGCGCTTGCGCAAAAGGGTTGGGTTTCTTCCCTGAGGCTTAAATTGATTGAAAGAGCGGTTACTGAAGTAGAGATCCGGGATAATCCTTTACTAGAAAACAGGGTGAAAAAAAGGTTAAGGGTCCAACACAANTTTAATGCCTACTATGTCCGAGGCACTATGCTAGAGCAGGAATGACGGTACACATACTAGTTAGTATACAAGATCAAGTATTATTAAAAACTCTCTCCGCCTCGCCCCAACGTGTGGCTTACAGTCAAACACCACTGCGTGATGGATGTTGAGAGATGGTGCTTTATTATTGCTACAAACATTTCATTTCTTTTTGTCAGTGAATTCTGTTTTTGAAAACTTAAATGAAGATCTCTCCAGTGCTGATTTCTAAATCCAAACTTAATACAGTATGGTGAGTGGAGATAAGAACACAGGTCTAGGAGAAGAGAAACTCTAGTTTGAGCATAAACAAACCTGTGTTCTTAGTTACTAATATTTAGACCTTGCTAAGGTCTAAATAATTCAATAAAATGACAAGGTTGGACTACAATTCTAAATGCAGTCCAATCGCGAATCTAGAGTTTATGAAGCCTTTCTTATTTGCTAAATGCTCCTATATAAACATACAACTCTAAGATTCAATCATTTATTTATTTTAAAGCAATCGGAAAACACAGAATTGTTGCCTTACGACTTTGGAACTGTACATCTTTGGAATTAAAGACATACCTGGAAGTTTAAAATTCTGCTCATACTTTTTTAAAGACCCATCAGCCTGAAACCGGTCACGCAGAGGAGAAAAAGCCATTGGCTCATCCATCTGAATTCCCAAAGACGCCTCCTTCACAAAACAACTGGGATGCAAAATGCCAGCTAAGAGGTCATATCCACAGGGGGAGCAAAGCAGCTGTGAAAACCAGAATACTGGGAAAGATAAGTTTATATCACTCACTGAACCAAACACTAAGAACTGCCGCTGCCCCCAAATGGGCAAACATTTAAAAACATACCATACGTCCAAATCCCCAAAGTAAGGAAAAGTGTGGCCATTTCTAAGAAATTCCTTTTGCTTTACTTTTACCTTCCGTAAATACCTGCAGGGGGCCGAAGGGAGAACCTCCCAGTCGGGGCGCCTCACCAGCAGCGGCGGCGGCGGCGGGGNAGATCCGGGATAATCCTTTACTAGAAAACAGGGTGAAAAAAAGGTTAAGGGTCCAACACAAGGAAAAGGATGGGCCTTTGAAAAGAACTCAAATTCCCATCCTTGTAACAGGAGGGAAAGACAGAAGATAAATTCAGGTGCAAGTGAGGAGGCTGGTCAGTTAGCTTACTTGATTAGAGCGTGGTGTTGGTAATATCGAGATCAAGGGTTCATATCCCTATACCGGCCAGCTGCCAAAAAAGAGATAAAATAAAAAAATAGACATGGGTTCTATAACAGCTATACCATACGAGAGCTAAAATAAATAAAGTTAATTATATAAGAAAAATTCAGATGCAAGTGGTTTGTGTATGGATGGGAGGATAAGGTAGTCCCTACCTGACCACATCAATTTTCTTAATAAAATATGAGAAGAGGTCTTCAGCTGAAAGGGAGCAGGAAGAGGGTATTAGAGGTTGGAGTGAAGAGAAGGTCAGAGGTATCTTATAAGAGTGAGAAGGTGAGCCGTAGAAAAATTGAGATTTTGCCAGTAGTAGTGAGTGCCCATTTATGATTTGGTCATGAATTTACAGTGAGTCCAGACAGCACAGTGGTATGATTTTCTCAAGTAACCTTCAGTCAAGAGGATGCAGAAGAGGATAGTTGGGCTTAACTAAGAATGAATATCACACAAGGAGGGTCAAGTGAGAGTGTTTACAAAGAAGTGATTGTAATGATACACCATGGAATCTTTGGGAGGTGTTGACCCAAAAGAAACTGAGGCCAAACATATAAAGCATAGGATTTATTGAGCCAATATGATGATTGCAACTGGGAAATGCATAGGTCAGGTCACCCTGAGAAATGTGCTCCAAAGGAGTCCAACAGAGCCTAGCATTTTATAATCACAAGAAGGGGGATCAAAGGAGAGAGAGCAGAGCACCACCTAATTTCTTCATCAGGTTTTCTATTGATTGTACATGACAAATAGATTTGGGATTGTTACTAGGTTACATCCTACATGCAGGGATCTAGGTAAGGGTTACAAGAAGCGTTCTAGTTTATTTTATNGTTACATCCTACATGCAGGGATCTAGGTAAGGGTTACAAGAAGCGTTCTAGTTTATTTTATGGCTTTCTGATGCTATTCTGACTGCTTATAAGTGAAAATGGTCTTATGATAATGTTTTCCAGGACAGGTGGACATGACCACTGACTTAGATCTCCAAAGCACTATAATTTAGTTGAGTGTCAGAGCAGATATATATATTTGTTATCAGAGGCAAGGAGGAAAGGTTAATAGGAAGGTGGTAGGTAGATAGTGACATAGATCGTCCATTCAACCATAGCCAGATAAAAAGTGCTGGGGACAATGGATTGGAAATCTCTCTGTAAACTAAGAATTGGTATAATAGGGGTGAGTTAGAAGGATAGAGGTAATAGGTGGTGCATGGAATGGTGTAAATGGAATTTCCGAGATAAGACCATTGAAAAGGGTAGTTAAATTTGCTGGAGGAAAAGATCTGTTTTTGTGTGAAAAGGTCAGATTATCCTGACTCCAAAACCTATGCTAGGCGGGGAGATACCAGTTCTTTCTCCTCAGGCAGTGAATAGTATCCTCTCCTCTGGGCTCCATTACCACTTTATGCATGCCTCCATTTCAGCACACAGGCATAGGAAAGAAATACAAAATCTAGCCTAGTTCAGACCTATTGAATCAGAATCTATGGTACAGCAGGATACCAAGGTGATTTGTATGACCCTTAGTCTCAGAAGCACTGTTTTGAGAACACTGGTTCTCAATCATGTCTATGTATTAGAATCATCTAAGGAGCTGTTAAAAATCATGAAGCCCAGACTGTACTCCAGAATTAATTATGTCAGAATTTCCAGGTATGGGACCCAAGCATCAGCATCTTTTAAACCTCCCCCATTTGATTCTAATGTGCAACACTATAATTTAGTTGAGTGTCAGAGCAGATATATATATTTGTTATCAGAGGCAAGGAGGAAAGGTTAATAGGAAGGTGGTAGGTAGATATTGACATAGATCGTCCATTCAACCATAGACAGATAAAAAGTGCTGGGGACAATGGATTGGAAATCTCTCTGTAAACTAAGAATTGGTATAATAGGGGTGAGTTAGAAGGATAGAGGTAATAGGTGGTGCATGGAATGGTGTAAATGGAATTTCCGAGATAAGACCATTGAAAAGGGTAGTTAAATTTGCTGGAGGAAAAGATCTGTTTTTGTGTGAAAAGGTCAGATTATCCTGACTCCAAAACCTATGCTAGGCGGGGAGATACCAGTTCTTTCTCCTCAGGCAGTGAATAGTATCCTCTCCTCTGGGCTCCATTACCACTTTATGCATGCCTCCATTTCAGCACACAGGCATAGGAAAGAAATACAAAATCTAGCCTAGTTCAGACCTATTGAATCAGAATCTATGGTACAGCAGGATACCAAGGTGATTTGTATGACCCTTAGTCTCAGAAGCACTGTTTTGAGAACACTGGTTCTCAATCATGTCTATGTATTAGAATCATCTAAGGAGCTGTTAAAAATCATGAAGCCCAGACTGTACTCCAGAATTAATTATGTCAGAATTTCCAGGTATGGGACCCAAGCATCAGCATCTTTTAAACCTCCCCCATTTGATTCTAATGTGCAATCAAGTGTGAGAAACACTTATTTAGAAATTGGTCACATAAGGCCGCCCCGTGGCTCACTCGGTAGAGTGTGGTGCTGATAACACTAAGGCCACGGGTTCGGATCCTGTATAGGGATGGCCAGTTTGCTCACTGGCTGAGCATGGTGCTGACAACACCAAGCCAAGGGTTGAGATCCCCTTACCGGTCATCTTTAAAAAAAAAAGAAATTGGTCACATTAATCTATAAAGCCTGTTATTATAATATTTGCCAAATTCATTTTCCCCATGTAATCATATAACTACTTGTATAGTCTTTAACTTCTCCTTTGTATCTTTTATATTAAGTGCAAGGTAACTACTTATCTTGTATCTCAAATTGTTTATAAGCTTTATGCTAGCTGTTACTCAGTATCTGGGCAAGTTACTCAATATCTCTGACATTCAGTCTCTATTTCAAAAATGTAAAATGGACAAAATACTTGGTTTTGCTATAGGGATTAAATTAGATAAAGTGACATAAGACATGTAAAGTGCTTGGTCTACTAGGCTTGGACATGTTAGCTCATTTGACTTAATTTATAGTACGTACTTTCTCTTTTCTCTAAGATCCTATCCCTAATACATAGCACATTGCTGTCCACATAGTAGGGACTTAATAAATGGCCATGGAATTAATGAACAATGAGAACTTAGGTTTTAAATAGTTGGTTGTACTTATGTCTCCAGTAAGCAGATTGGAGGTAGATTGATTGTTGAATTAATGATTGTTATTTAGGGATGTTGATAACTACATTCACGAAGTTTTCCTTTGGGTCAGGCCAGTGCCTTCACCATTTTTCTTTCACAGCATGTTCATTCTCCATCCATGTCTCCGTGTTTGTTTCTCATTTTATCTTTTGTTTCTATCTCTGCATCCTCCAAATTCAGATGAGTTAATTCCTTACATATCCCAGTCCAAGATCTGTCCCTTCCTTAACTCATGGTTAACTCCTTATAGACTGACTACAAGTAATTTTATCACGTGCTTTTTGTTTTTTAATTAACTGTACTGAACAATTTAGTTCCTTATTAAGCATACTGGCACATTCTCTGAACTACACCACTCTTCTAAGCATTTCACATTTCAAGTAGACTGTAATCTTGTGGAGAAGGACCATGTCTCTTATTCTTAATAGCACTTAGTTTGGTGCTAGCCCCAAAATAGGTGTTCTGTTAATGCTTGGCAAATTTTTGTACTCAGAAACATGCACTGAGTTTTTGATTCTATCTAGTTGAATTCGGTTTTTGAAGAAGGAGAGTTTGTTTATCCAATAGTTGTTTTCACTTTCCTCCAATTCCAAAGGAGATTACCAAGAAGGGGAAACAGAGAGCTGGGGAATTAGACCTAAAAGAGACAGAAGCAGGAACTAGTTGAATCAGGAATCTGATGGTAGTCTGATTTCAAATAAATGAGAAAGCTTTCCAGTGTTTTCAGGCAATTTATATCAGGGCAGGGCTTTATTTGATCCTTTTGTGGTTCCAAACTATGTCAGAGCAAAGACAATATGTAAAATAACAGTTTTGAATTCTACATCATCAAAGGTAAGAGATAGGGGATGGGAAGGAGAAAGAGTAAGAAAAAGAAGAGAAAAGTGGAAGAAGAAAAGAGAATGAACAAGTGAAAAGACAACTGTGCTGCTTTAATCTTAGATTATTATAGATGTTATGTAGGGAAGGGGGAAAGGAGACAGGGAGGGGGATGGGGTCCTTCAAATAGGAATGAGGACAGAGATCAGTAGGTCCTGTCCATTGGACAGGAAGGTGAAAGACTTAAGTGGAGAATGACTGGGAAGTGTTTATGGGAAGACTGGCTCCCAGACCTAGTAAAATGCCCATTCCTGTTAGCCCAGGAGCATGGACCAGGTTGGCTGGACAATGGGCACCTCATCAGTAACAAGTGGCCTCCCTGGTGCTTTGGTGCTGCAGAAGACACCCCCCTGGACCTTTGCATGATTCTAGAAAAGGTTGAAGAGGATGCGGAGAATGCATTTCCTATCATCTGAGTAGGACTGTGGCTCAGAGGTAAATTAAATTTGATTCTGATAAATAAAGAAAGGTGTTATTTATTTGAACAGCTGAGTTGGAAATTAAACTGCCTGGCAAATCTGCACAGCAGTAGATGAGTGGGGACATTCAATTCTAGTCTTTATGTGCCAAAGCCTGTGCATTTTCCACTGAAGGAAGGAGTTAGAGAAATGATTAGCTGTTCTCTACCTGGACAATTAGCTATTCTACTACCTAGTAGAGAATAGCTAACATACAGCGTGAAGTTTGT